CCTCCCTCCCTCCCTCTTTTGCTCTATGTTTAAAAATTTCCATAACCAGGAGGATGGTGACACTCAGCCCTATTTTATATTTTATTTAAAGACAGGGTCTCACCGAGTTGCTTAGTGGTTTGCTTTTATTGAGGATGGCTTTGAACTCATGATCAGCCTACAGGGCCGCTGGGATTACAGGGGAGTGTCACCATCCCCCTGGTTATGGAAATTTTTAAACGTAGAAAGCAAACCACTAAACAACTCAGTGAGACCCAATCTTTAAATAAAATATAAAATAGGGCTGGGGATGTGGCTCAGTGGTTGAGTGTCCTGAGTTCCAATCCCGGTACAAACACCCCCCCCTACCCCATCCTCCAAAAAATAATAATTCCAATATGAAAGTAGAGAGCTGGAGTTGTGCTTGGTGGCAGATTGCTTGCCTAGCATGTGTGAGGCACTGGATTTGATTTTCAACACTGCATATAAATAAATAAAATAAAGGTCTGTTGACAACTTTAAAAAATTAAAAAAAGAAAAAGTAGAAATTGGAGTATATTCAACTATTATGTACCTGTCACACAGTTTCCATAACAAACTCCTGGCAAATCTTGTTTTTATCCATACCCTGTACATCCAAAGCCTCACATTATTTCAGATATCCTGTAATTTCATTTATGAATATTTTAGAATGTTTTATTCATTTATTTGTTTGTTTATTGCTGGGGATTGAACCCAGGGGCACTTAATCACTGAGGCACATCTCCAGCCCTTTTTATATTTTATTTAGAGACAGAGCCTATCTAAGTTGCTTAGGGCCTTGCTAAGTTGCCAAAGCTCTTCTCCAACTTGTGATCCCCCTGGCTAGTTTTTGAAAACTAACTGTAATACAATTAGCTAAAAAAAAAATTAATTCCTTAGTCGCCAGTCAGTGCTTTAATTTCTTTTGCTCTCATTAAGTTTGTAATCTATTCAAGTCATATTTTGATTATTACTAGGATTGAGAATGAATGAGAACAAGTGTTCTGATTATGCTTGAAGATTTTCTCATTTTACTTTTGGAAAATATTTTAGTAAACAGTCTTTTAAAATTTGTATCCTTTTGATAACGTTGTTTGTTGTTGTTTCTCTGGTATTGGGGATTGAACCCATGGGCACCTAAGGCACTTAACCATTGAGCCACATTCCCAGTCTTTTTATGTTTTATTGTGAGACAGGTCATATTAAGTTACTTAGGATCTCACTAAGATGCTGGGGCTGACCTGGAACTTGCAATCCTCCTGCCTTAACCTCCCAAATAGTTGCGATTGTAGTATGTGCCATCTTGCCCCTTATAACTTTCTAGTCATTGTTTTTTCACTATTTCATACAAAAAGGAAATTGAAGTCTAGAGATTTAAGTGATTTGCCAAAGGTAGAGGACTAGAAAAGAATACCAGGGCCAGAACTCAGGGGTACAGAATCCAGTGTCATCATTTTTCTTCTTCTTGCTTCTCTTCCCCCTCCCTCCATTGAAATGTTATAAGACACTTAATGCTTTCCTTCAATCCTTTGAAATGTTTAATGTAGTCTTTCAAAGTCTTTGTTCAGTAAATTTAGCATTGGGACCTTTGCTTTATACTGATTATTTTTTCCTTGTTTATGAATTACGGGTTTTTTTTAATGACTTGTAATACTTAAAAAAATGTTTTTTTTTTCAGTTGTTGATAGACCTTTATTTTATTTACTTGTATGCGGTGCTGAGATTGAACCTAGTGCCTCAAACATTCCAGGCAAGTGCACTAGTGCTGAGCCCCAGCCTCAACCTGTAATACTTTTTTATTGGATATTTAAATAATATAATTTGACAGTTGTAGAAATTAGAGTGTTCCCTTCCTCAGGTTTGTTTTTGTTAACTGTTGAAATTGCTTGTTTAGTGACTTTATTTTAGACTATTTTATAATACCTCTATTTTTTCTTATAGCCAGTGAATTCTTTATTCTGTCAGCTAGTGATTATACAGAGATTTCCTTAATTTGCTGGAATCAGTGGATTACCTGGGCTTTGTGAAGAGGCTGTCTGTGTGTTGGAACAGCCAAACTGTTGCAGACTCTACCTTAGCTTTCACTTCCTACTTGCGCATAAGTCATAGATGTGAGCTTGAGGTCTTCCCAAGTTGTTCTTGAGCATATGTAGAACCTTAAGAATGTACCTATAAACATTGGCATGGTCTTGTAGATCTGTAGAAACTTGTGAGAGCTTTACAAATGATATGTACTCCAATTTTTTTCTTTCTTTTTCTTTTAAGATACCTTTCTTTTTTAAATATTTATGTTTTAGTTGTAGTTGGGCACAATATCTTTATTTATTTTTATGTGGTGCTGAGGATCGAACCCAGGACCTCGCCTGTGCTAGGGGAGCACTCAGCCACAACCCCAGCCCCCAATTATTTCTTTTTCCTTAGTGTGTTTTATTGTCCTCCCACTCCCAACTCAGGCAGCTTTAAAGTTGAACAGGCAAGTGCCTCCAGGGAAAATGTTTTCTTATTGGTCAAGTTCCAAGTCATCTAGGTTATCAGTAGCTGTGTCTAATAATAACAGTTCCCTGGGGATAGTAAGGTTTAAGGAACTTCCAGGCCATAGTGTTTTCTTCTATGCCTGTTAGGTTTGAATATGAGTTTTTTGTTTTTTTGGGGGGGGGCGGGGTACTCAGGGATTGAACTCAGGGGCACTTGACCACTGAGCCACAGTCCTAGTGCTATTTTGTAGTTTCTTTAGAGAAACTAAATTTGCTTAGCACCTTGCCATTGCCGAGGCTGGCTTTGAACTCAAGATCCTCCTGTCTCAGCCTCTTGAGCCACTGGGATTACAAATGTGTACCACCACACCCTGTGAGGTATTTGGTTTAAGGCTACTGCAGAGCTATAGTATTGAACTAGGCAGAATTAAACTTAGAAAGCTTGTTGTTCTTATTGTGCCTTAGACATTTTCATTGAATATATACTCCCTGAATTGCTACAAGCTTTTGGTTGTCTTCTAGAATTCTGAAAACATTGATTCTTACAATTTTGGGCAATTTTCTCATTTCTTTTGTACAAGAGAGAATTTTCAAGGGTCATTTTTCAGAATTCCCTGCTATTTTAAATGAGAATCTTTCCACGGACATTCGCTATGATAGTATTCATGATAACCGAAGAGTAAGAAAACAGTCTAATGCCCCCAAATCAGAAAATATTTTTTAAAAATGATTCATCTAGATGGAATAATATGTTAATACTAACAACTTATGACATGAAAGGATACTTATGAGATTATAGGTAATAAAAAGCAGAGTACAAAATAGGGTATGTTCAAATATTTAAAGATGAATTTTATAAGGAAATGAACATGTATAAACCTAAAAACTACTGAAAGGAACTACATCAAGGTGTTCCATTTATTTTTTCTGAGTAAGGGGGTAATTTTTAAATTAAAAAGTTAAAAACATCTTTGTTCTGTATTCTATAAACGGATACAAAAATACACATATCAACCTATGAATTAAGAATTATAATAGCTGTAAATGGCTATGAACTTTGATTTAACATAAATATTTGAAGGCATGCTTTGAGAACATGCTCGTAACCCTATGGCACTGGGGATAACATAGTATAAATGAGTTGTTTTATTCTTAGGTTTGTATTCTATAGAAAGAAGCTTTGATTCTGTGTGGTGTAATTGGGTAAATTATTAGGCAGATGAATAACTTGTCTCATTTATTAGCATTTATTTTTTTTCCTTTACAGGCACATATTAAATTTCCTATTGACTACCCATATTCACCACCTACCTTCAGATTCTTGACCAAAATGTGGCACCCCAACATTTATGAGGTAAGAGATGTCCATCATATATTTCTCTGCATATTTATTTCCCATATTAATACTTTTAAAAATAGCCTGTTGGCTGGGGTTGTAGCTTAGTGGTAGAGCATGTACTTAGCATGCTTGAGGCCATTGGTTCAATCCTCAGCAACACATGCGTGTGCGCGCATGCGCGCGCGCACACACACACACACACACACACACACACACACTGTATATCTCTGTATGTCGTGATGGTAGTGCTGTAGCTACAGAGAAGTATTCATGATTTTTCACTTTTATTTAGGAATCTCTGATTTAATTATTTAAAAATTGAGGGTAGTTTTATAATAGCCCGCATATATTCAAGTTAAGATTGAGGCTTGAAATCTTCCCAGCTGGTTGCTAAAGATTATTATGCACATGTGTTAACATTTGCATTTTTTAAATTTAATAGATAAAGTAATACAAATTTATTTGTGTACTTATCCTCTAACTTTACAGCAAGGGTCACCTGTTGCTATGTCAGAGATTCAGCTTTTTGGGGGGATTTATCCTACTACATTTGGACTGGCCTCCTTTCAGGAGTTGCTGCTGAGCATTTGAGAGCCTCTTTTGGAATAAATCCAAGGTGAGGTTATTCTGTTGGACAAGTCAACATGCCTGAAGGAAGCATTTCTAGTTTTGTTGATTGAAACATACCTAGCTTTGGGCTAATTCATGAGGATGTTAGAATAATGCATTAGCACTTTTGAGCAGAATTATTATTTTCTACAGTTTGCTTTTTCTGTAAGATATCTTCAGTTTTCTTTGCTTTTTCACACAGGACAAACTAGTGCTGAAAGGTAATGTAGTTTTCTTGCCAGAAATTAGCTCCCTTAATATTGTTTCTTCTTTTTTAGTACTTAGCATAATCATAATTCGGTGATTCTACTGTCCTGTGTATCAAAGTTATTCTGTTGTAGGGAAGGGTCTGTAGAAATAACTCATTGTTTCATGAATTTAAATTGAATTCAATATTCACAGAATTATTTTGGTATTTATCTTAGTCTATCTGGGCTGCTACAACAAAGTATCTTAGACTGAGGAATTTACAACCAACAGAAATTTATTGTTCACAGTGCTTGAAACCTAGGAAGTCCAAGATAAGCCATCAACAGATTTGGTGTCTTGTGAAGCTCTTGCAACTATAGTAACAATAACAAAACCTACACAGTATAGATAGGCTTAAGGTAGCAAGGGAAAAGTGAAGACCAGCCTTTTGTCTTGCTATCAAGAACAAAACCTTAAAGTCATATACTAATTTATTCCTATCACAGTTATCTGAGACCTCTCTTAAAAAAGACATAAAACAAGAAAAAGGACTCAAAGCTCTAAAGAAGGTGTAGTTGTTAATTAAATTCCTTTTAGTCTTTCACAACTTAAGCTATTGACTTCTCTCAAGAGTTAGCATTAGATGGTGATATTTAAAAATACCTTTTGCCTGGCACAGTAGTGTATGCCTGTAATCTCAGTGACTCAGGAGCCTGAGGCAGGAAGATTGAAAGTTTGAAGCCAGCCTCAGCACCTTAGCCAAGACCCTATTTCAAAATAAAAAATAAAAAGCTAGGGATGTAACTCAGTGGTAAAGCAGCCATGAGTTTAATTCCCAGTACCAAGTTTTAAAAATATGTATGTATAGAATATAATATTCATAATAATTTTTTCTCCAATAAAGTACATACATTTCCATACTTTTTTTTTTTTTTTTAAATAATGGGGATTTAATTCCTGGGCACCTTATCACTGAGCTGTATCCCAGCCCTTTTGATTTTTTTAAATTTGGAGACAGTACTGCTAAATTGCCTAGAGCCTCACTAAGTTGTTGAGGCTGGCCTTGAACTGCAATCCTTGATCCTCTATCTCAGCCTTCTGAGGGCTTGGGATTATAGGTATGCACCATCATGCTTGGCCAATTTTTTTTTTTTAAAGAGATAATTTTTTTAATATTAATTCTTTAGTTTTCGGTGGACACAACATCTTTGTATGTGGTGCTAAGGATGGAACCTGGGCCGCATGCATGCCAGGCGTGAGCGCTACCACTTGAGCCACATCCCCAGCCTCTAATTTTTGTTTTTAATGAAGCAATAGATCATAATTAGAAATAAAATTTGAAGCTGGATATAGTGGCACACGCCTATAATCCCAGCTATTTGAAAGGCTGAGGCAGAAGGATTCAAGGCCAGCCTCAGTAATTTAAGAGAGACTTTGTCTCTTAAATTTCAAAAGGGCTGGTCTAGGTACTAAGTGGTAGAGCCCCTTGGGTTCAATCCTTTACCAAAGAAAAATTTTATATATAGTCAAAAGCATCATAAGTGACTGTAATCACATGATTGGCTGTACTTGGGAAATGATATTAGAATGATATTTTTTGAGCCAGTGTCAATATTCTACAAATCTGGGATTGATGGTTCTTGGCCAAAGGTATGCTCTTGAGTTGCTTTTTTCTTACCCATGATATAAACAATGGACCTTGATATCAAATTGCTAGTCACTAAATTACATACTGCAAGGATATTTGTATCTGAGGAGGGAGTGTGAAACAATTGTCAACAACAAAACAAATACAAAAGCACAATCCAATTTAAATTCTAAAATATATGAATTGATGAATTAGTTTTTGCAGGTTAACAAACATTTAAAAATGAATATTATAAAGATTGTTATCAATAGAAAATAGATCAATTGTTACATTAAGTTTTTTTTTGGGTGTGTGTATGTGTGATACTGGGGATTGAACTCACAGCTTTTGTGTATGTGAAGCAAGCACTCTGAGAACTGACCTATATCCCCAGCCCTACATCTAGTTTTAAAAATCAGGAACTTTGGTTATAATTTATTAAGCACTTCAGTTCAAAAAATTGTAAATACTACTCTTTGAATGAATTTAATTATTTAAAAATTTCCCGTATCATTACTGTGTCTTTGAAATTTATGATTAATCAAGGGAAAAAAAGAAAGGAAGGAATTTAATATGAATTTTCTATATGACTATATTGCACAATTCATTCTCTGCTTTGCAATATGTTAAGTGAGTTTTTAAAAGTAATAGTATGCTGTTACATATTATTGTGAGTTCAAAAGTGGATGATCAGTGGGTCTCATTTGCTTCACAAACCGTATTAAAATCACATATTCACATACATTTCACTGAAAACCTCACAGATAAGGGAACTCAAAGTCTCACTGCTCATTGTATTAAAAAAAATTTTAATAGTGGACTTTATTTTTCAGAGCAGTTTTTGGTTCAGTGCAAAACAGTGAAAGTATACAAAAGTATTTAATATTTAATGATCCTTTTAGTTCTAGCGTGTATAAAACAGTATAGAGCTTTCCTTCAAAAATATAAAGATCTTGGGCTGGGGATGTAGCTCAAGCGGTAGCGCGCTCGCCTGGCATGCCTGCAGACCGGGTTCGATCCTCAGCACCACATAGAAACAAAGATGTTGTGTCCGTCGAGAACTAAAAATAAATATTAAAATAGTTTAAAAAAATATATAAAGATCTACATATTTTTGAAGTACTGTACAAATCATTTCTCCTGTATAATGCTGATAAATAAATGTCACTTACATAGTCACAAAATAAAGCTTATAATATAATAAGATATTGTACCTCAGACTACCTGGTAATCCATATGAAAATATTTTGCTATTTTACATTAGCCTTTAATTCTGGAGAATGACTCTTGATTCTTTACCCAGTTGAGTCTAATACTAATCTCTATAGCCCCCCACAGTGTAAGGGTATTCTAATTTGACTATTCCAGTAGCATCCAGCCAGTTTGTGTGTGTGTGTGTCTCTGTCTTTTAATATATTTATACACACACACACACATATATACTTTTTAGTTGTAAATGGACACAATACCTTTATTGTATTTATTTATTTATTTGGTGCTAAGGATTGAACCAAATCAATCCTCACATGGGCTAGGCAAGCACTCTACCACTGAGCTACAACCCTAGCCCAGGGCATTTTGTTCTTATTTATTTATGTATATATGTGCTGGAGTTTGAACTCAGAGCCTTGTGCATCTTAAGCAGCATCTGTTACTGAGCTATACCATACCCTGACTGTGGACATGGATTTTTAAGTAGTAATTGATTTAATAATAGTTTTAAAATAGACCTTATGATTTTAATATGCTTTTTCTAAAGCGTTGCCTTTTTTTTTTTTTTTTTTTTGTACTGGGGATTGAAGTCACGGGCACTTGACCACTGAACCATATCCCCAGCCCTATTTTGCATTTTATTTAGAGACAAGGTCTCACTGAGTTGCTTATTGCCTCACTTTTGCTCAGGCTGGCTTTGAACTCATGATCCTCCTGGCTCAGCCTCTACAGCCACTGAGATTATAGGCTTATGACACTGCACCTGGCCTAAAACATGTTCTTTTAGTCACTTGTGGCTAAAAATATAGATGGGTGGCCTAGATGCTACTAATTCATTTACTCAGTCTTTGTGCCCTCATTGTGATGGAGAGTGGGAGCTAGTTCTCTATTGTCTCTTATTCTAAGGGCACTAATCTCATTAGACCAGGGCTTTACTTTTATGTTCTCATCTAACCCCAAATAAATTTTGAATTCAAAAATCACATAGGGGGCAAGAACCTAATATATGAATTTGTGGGGAGTATACAAATACTCATTTCATAACATCAGATAAACTGATGTTATGAAATGAGTATTTGTACTGATGTTATGAAATGAGTATTTGTATACTAATTTGTATACCTAAATTTCCTAAGAATTTGCAGTGTTAAAGGTTTTTGCAAATTCTGTAGAACCATTGCTTTTGAAATAAAATTTAGGCCAAAAATTCTGTTTTTTTTTTTTTGTTTGTTTGTTTGTTTGTTTATTTATTTATTTATT